AGGAAAAGTAGTTGATGTTTTGTCCACTCAGGTGGTACTTGAGAAAGTGTTCAGTCCTCCAGGAGTTTTCCAACTGGAGAGATCAGTCTATAACAGTAAATATGAAGAAGGCAGAGAGACCCAGATGGTGGAATAGGAGTTTCCTACTGCTATTCATCTCATCTCCTCCACAGTGCCCTGGTTTTGACAACTATCCATGGATTAATATACCTTTCTGGGAGTCCAGGGAAGAAATTCTAGAACACCATTGGAGCAAAAAATCTAAACATAGGAACATTGAAGAAAATAAAAAGAACAGTTTCACTACATCACCCCTGCCTGTAGGTGGTACAGGTCAGTGACACGACAGACCCCCTCAGCCCACAGTAACTCCCACAGGGAAATGTAAAAGTATAATGAGTGAACACTCAGCTTCCCCAGCTGTGCAGGATGCTTCCTAAGAGTCCTCCCTTTTCTTCATTCAACCCAGAATACTGAAGGGATGCACATGAACGAGTAGCTGGGAGAATGTGGAGGAAGGAACAAAGGCAAGAGACTCACAGCAATCACAGTATAAAACTCAACAAAGGGCCACATACCTTACTAGCTGCTTCACAGATTCCATCAAAGGCCTGCTCACAAGCTGCTTGGGATGCCTTACCTGTAGACTCCCCAGCTGGCCCATGGGCACCTCGAATACTCTATGTGCTTCACCCTTTTCACCACCCCATGGCTGGACCTCTCTAGGTGTACCCTGGACAGCAAGTGTAGGGCTTTACAGATGGTTTGCAAGCACATGCACTCAACAGGCTTGATACCGTAGGGAGAAGGTACACAAACGAGCATTTCAGGGCACTGCCCCTAAGGAAAACAAATGGGAGACTCTCCGTGCTTGGCCTGGCTTTGCAGTATTAACAGAAGGTATACCATCTTAAGAATCCCCCCCATCCCAAGAGCGAACAAGAGGAGCAGAGTGGGTGCATCCATAGAAAAAGTACAAGATAGCCTCAGAATCCCTGAGCCTGGTTAACTGGTGAAGGTGTTTTCCTCTCAAAGCCAGTTATCAAAGACAGGAAGAAGTGACTTCTCCAAGTAAATACAAAGACAGTAATGTAACACTTTAAGCAACATGAAAACTGAGGAAGCATGACACCATGAAAGGAACACAATAATTTTACAGTAACCAACCCCAAAGAAGTGGAGATCTAAATATTTCCTGACAAGGAATTCAAAACAATTGTTTTAAGGGAGCATAGCAAGCTACAGCAGAACACAGACAACGCAACCAAAATTAGGAAAACAATACATTTAAAACGGAGATGTTCAACAAGAGTGAAACTCTGTCCCAAAACAAAAACAAACACAAAACAAGAAAAATTAGCTGGGTTTGGTGGCATGTGCCTGTAATCTGGGAGACTGAGGCAGGAGAATTGCTTGTACCCGGGAAGTGGAGGTTGCAGTGAGCCGAGATCGCACCATTGGACTCCAGCGTGGGCAACAAGAGTGAAACTAAAAAATAAAATAAAATAAAAATAAAAAGATTTTTAAAAAATTGTATATCTGTATGGAGTATTCGCCATAGAGCTTTCAGGACTGGCTGTTGCCCTGGGTGAGTCAGTGAGTGAGTAGTGATGCATATGAAGGTCTAGGACATTACTGTACATGATGCAGACTTTACAAACACTGTATATGTAAGCTATACAAGTTCATTTGAAAAATAATTGTGCTATGATGTTACAATGGCTATGACATCACTAGGTGATATGAATTTTTCCATTTCATTATAATCTTAGGGGACTACCGTCTAATATGCGGTCCATCACTGACCAAAACATCATTATGTAGATATAATGTATATGCTGCCCTTTAAGGAAACACACAGGCTGAAACTGAAGAGATGGAAAAAGATGTTTGACTCCCATGTCCATTGCAGCATTTTCCATAATAGCCAAGACATGGAAACAACCTCAGTGTCTACAAACAGATGAATGGATAATGAAAATGTAACTATAGGCCAGGCGCGGTAGCTCAAGCCTGTAATCCCAGCACTTTGGGAGGCCGAGATGGGCGGATCACTAGGTCAGGAGATCAAGACCATCCTGGCTAACACGGTGAAACCCTGTCTCTACTAAAAAAGACAAAAAACTAGCCGGGCGAGGTGGCGGGCGCCTGTAGTCCCAGCTACTCGGGAGGCTGAGGCAGGAGAATGGCGTAAACCCGGGAGGCGGAGCTTGCAGTGAGCTGAGATCCAGCCACTGCGCTCCAGCCTGGGTGACAGAGCCAGACTCCGTCTCAAAAAAAAAAAAAAAAAAAAGAGGCGGGGCGCGGTGGCTCAAGCCTGTAATCCCAGCACTTTGGGAGGCCGAGACGGGCGGATCACGAGGTCAGGAGATCAAGACCATCCTGGCTAACACGGTGAAACCCCGTCTCTACTAAAAAGTACAAAAAAAAAAACTAGCCGGGCGAGGTGGCGAGCGCCTGTAGTCCCAGCTACTCGGGAGGCTGAGCCAGGAGAATGGCGTAAACCCGGGAGGCAGAGCTTGCAGTGAGCAGAGATCCGGCCACCGCACTGCAGCCTGGGTGACAGAGTGAGACTCCGTCTCAAAAAAAAAAAAAAAAAAGAAAATGTAACTATATATTTAACTATATGTTATATATATATAACTGTGTGTGAGAGAGAGAGATACAGAGAATGTTATTGAGAATTAGAATTTTATTGAACCTTTAAAAATTAGAATAGACCAGGTACAGTAGCTCATGCCTGTAATTCTAACACTTTGGGAGGCTGAGACAGGAGGATTGCTTGAGCCCAGGAGTTTGAGACCAACCTGGAAAACATAACAAGACCTCATCTCTACAAAAAAATACAAAAATTAGCCAGGCATGGTGGCATATGCCTGTGGTTCCAGCTACTCAGGAAACTGAGGCAGGAGGATCGATTGAGCCCAGGAGGTCAAGGCTGCAGTGAGCTGTGATTGCACCACTGCACTCCAGCCAGGGTGACAGAGTAAGATCCTGTCTTTAAAAACAAAGAAAAAGAAGGCCAGGTGCGGTGACTCATGCCTGTAATCTCAGTACTTTGGGAGGCCGAGGCGGGCAGATTGCTTGAGGTCAGGAGTTTGAGATCAGACAGGCCAGCATGGTGAAACCCCGTCTCTACTAAAAATACAAAAATTAGCTGGGCATGGTGGCACGCATCTGTAATCCCAGCTACTCGGGAGGCTGAAGTAGGAGAATCGCTTGACACCGGGAGGCAGAGGTTGCAGTGAGCCAAGATTGCGCCACTGCACTCCAGCCTGGGCGACAGAGCGAGATTCTGTCTCAAAAAACAAAAAAAAAAAAACAAAAAAAACTTCATGGCAAAATCCCTGAAGCACTTTCATGTTTATCAATTGTATTCTTTCATTTTACAACAAGGAAACTAAGGCTCAGAGAAGGGAAGGATTCACAAAGAAAGTTGTCAAACCAGGCCTGGAATTCTGATCACCTGACACCTCAGCCTTGAACTTGATGTGCAAAAGGCATTGTTGGGAATAGGGTTATAGAGTTCACTATATCACACAGCTGAACTGGGGTCCTTAAAGGTTAGCAAAATAATTTATTGATTGATTTATTGAATGAATGAATGAAACACAAACCAAGAAGTCACAGCTTTGTTAGCCTAGGATAAGTTCTATCCACAGAAGCATTTACTCACCCTTCAGAAGAGAATTTTTTTTTTTTTTTTGAGACGGAGTGTTGCTCTGTTGCCCAGGCTGGAGTGCAGTGGCTCGATCTCAGCTCACTGCAACCTCCGCCTCCCAGGTTCCAGCGATTCTTCTGCCTCAGCCTCCTGAGTAGCTGGGACTACAGGCGCCTGCCACCATGCCTGACTAATTTTTGTATTTTTAGTAGAGGCAGGATTTCACCGTATTAGCCAGGCTGGTCTCAAACTCCTGACCTTGTGATCCGCCTGCCTCGGCCTCCCAAAGTGCTGGGATTTCAGGCGTGAGCCACCATATCTGGCCTAGCAGAGAATTTTAAATTGGCTTTTAGGAAGGTGTTTTAGCAGCTAAACTTTGGATGAGCCTAATAAGAAAGAGTTCAGGCCTTGGCCAGGTGCAGGGGCTCATCCCTGTAATCCCAGCACTTTGGGAGGCAGAGGAGGTCGGATCACAAGGTCGAAAGATCGAGACCAGCTTGGCCAACATGGCGAAACTGTCTCTAATAAAAATACAAAAATTAGCCAGACGTGGTGGCAGGCGCCTGTAGTCCCAGCTACTTGGGAGGCTGAGGCAGGAGAATCACTTGAACCTGGGAGTTGGAGGTTGTAGTGAGCCGAGATCAAGCCATTGCACTCCAGCCTGGCAACAAGAGCAAAACTCCATCTCAAAAAAAAAAAAAAAAGAAAGAAATTAGTAAACACTGCAAATCAGGAATCTTCTGAGCCAGATGTTTTGTTTTTGTTTTGTTTGAGATGGAGTCTTGCTCTGTCGTCCAGGCTGGCGTGCAGTGGCGTCATCTCAGCTCACTGCAACCTCCGGCTTACGGGTCCAAGCAATTCTCCTGCCTCAGTCTCCTGAGTAGCTGGGACTACAGGCGCATGCCACAACGCCTGGCTAATTTTTGTATTTTTAGTAGAGATGGGGTTTCACCATGTTGGCCAGGCTGGTCTGGAACTACTGACTTCAGGTGATCCGCCCTCCTCGGCCCCCCAAAGTGCTGGCGTGAGCCACTGTGCCCGGCCAGAGCCAGGTGTTTGTTAAACATTTATCAGACATATCAGGTTATCATCATTATTACTGAAATCGACAACAACTCATTTGCTCTGGGCAGACACAACGCACATCTGTTTGCCTATTTTTACTAATGTGACTGCTCATTTGAGTCAGAAGCAGCCAATTCAACAAAATGGTTAATTGGTTTCCCCACCCCATCCCCCATGTTCAGGGGCCGTGGGCCTCGCTGGGAGTTTCTGTCTCACAGTGTTAAATGAGGGAACCCAACTCCGTCAAAATGCTCCACTGGCCACATTTCTCAATGTCGCCACTCACACGCCCTCAGAAACAGGAAGCCTGTCCCTTGCCTCCTCCAAGCAGAAGATGTCTCAGCAGTTCCAGGGTGCACAGGAGCTTTCAAGAGTCACCCTCATTGTGAGCTGGTGAGTTTGTCACACATGAGCTGGTTTCTTACCTGGATCTGTCTCTGCGTGGGAGTCGGCATCCCGTCGCTCTTCTTGAGACTAAGGCTACCACTTCCAGGAATGCTCAGGGCAAACTCGTCTGTGGGGGCACCTCACCCACCCACACTGCCAAGTCTCCACCCTGGCCCCTGGCCCCCACCAGGACCCCCTCCCGCACCATGAGGGTCCTCTGGTGGGTCTTGCGGGAGCGACACAGGGCAGTGAGAAGATTCTGGCTTCCGGACAGCCGCGGGTCGTCAGCTTCCCTGGAAAAGGGATGCTTGCCTAGCGATGACGCCTGGGTCTCTCCCCCGTGGGCAGACTAGAAAGGGGAAGTGGTCAGGATGAGGCTCACTGTCTTGAGCGGTGGGTGAGGGCCTGTGAGTGAGGAATGCCTCTCGCCAGCTGTGCCTGAACCGCAGCACTCCAGCCACTGCTGTCTCCTTAGCCGCTCGGATACCTTCACAGTTCAGGTAAGCATCTCGGCTTTCCAAGGGACAGTTTCCTGCTCTCTTCCCAGTAGACATCTGTCAGCGCCGGCATCAGGGCATGTGTCCCTGGGAGCCACCGATGGGCACCGGGCCAGGGGATTGCAGCCTGGGGCCCTGGTACGACTGCTGGGTAGGGTTGGAGAAAAACTTGCATTGAAGAATCTGCTCTGCCGGTAACTGGCTGAGTGACCTGAGGCATCGCTTCACCTCTCTGGGCCTTTTCCTCGTGTGTATGTCGCGGCGATGAAGAAGTCAACCTCTCCGGTTGAAATGAGATAATGACTGGGAATGAGAGGTGTGAACTGTAACGAGTTATTCCCACTCTCTGGATGCCGATAGTGTGTTTTGGGACTGATATGTGAGAAGACTGTCATGGTGCCGTGCTGGAGGTAGGGGTGGGAGCAAGGCACTGACTGTGTCCATTTATTTATTTTTATTTTATTTTATTTTATTTATTTAGCTATTTTTGAGACGGAGTTTTGCTCTTGTTGCCCAGGCTGGAGGGCAGTGACGCGATCTCAGCTCACTGCAACCACCACCTCCCGGGTTCAAGCGATTCTCCTGCCTCAGCCTCCCGAATAGCTGGGATTACAGACACGCGCCACCACACCTGGTTAATTTCTGTATTTTTAGTAGAGATGGGGTTTCACTGTGTTGGCCAGGCTGCTCTTGAACTCCTGACCTCGGGTGATCCGCCTGCTTCAGGCTCCCAAAGTGCTGAGATTACAGTGGTGCGAATTTAGGCTATGTCTTGGGGCTCTTGGATGAAAGACCTGGAACACCTCCAGTCTTGGTACCGCTGTCATTGCATCTCTGGCTTTAAGTGGCTCATTAGGCACCTTCCCTTCCAGAGGCCTCGAGATCAAAGTGTGTTGGGCTGGTGTGAGTTCTCGGTGGAGCCATCTGCTTTTGCCCTCTAGAAAATTATTTCGAAGAAGAACACACAAGGAACGGTCAGAAAGACCATCAACACAACCTCACTAAAAAAAAAAAAAAAAAAAAGCCCGGGCCCTATCCCAGCTACCGGAAGAAATGCAAGGAGGACTGAGACGGCCACTCCTCCAGGGAAAAACACAAAAAAAAAAAAAAAAAAAAAAAAAAAAAAAAAAAAAAAGGTTCGGCTTCGCCATATCCACTCCCACTGCCCTGTGTATCCACTTGTCCCCGAGGTCTTGGCCGTGAAGCAATGCAGAGCACAGGCTTCACTCTGCTTCAGTGGGAAATAACGACTGAGAGACAGGTGGGGGGCGGTGGCTCACGCCTGTAATCCCAGCACTTTGGGAGGCCAAGGTGGGCAGATCACAAGGTCAAGAGATCAAGACCAGCCTGGCCAACATGGTGAAATCCCGTCTCTACTAAAAATACAAAAATTAGCTGGACGTGGTGGCGGGTGCCTATAGTTGCAGCTACTCAGGAGGCTGAGGCAGGAGAATCGTTTGAGCCCGGGAGGTGGAAGTTGCAGTGAGCCAAGATTATGCCACTGCACTCCAGCCTGGTGACAGAGCAAGCAAGACTCCATCTCAAAAACAAAAACAAAAACAAAAACAACCAAACAAACAAAAAAACTACTGAGAGGCTTAAAGCAAGGAAAGGACAGGGTCACACTGGTATTTGGCAGCCAGTGGGGAGCCAGATGGGGACTAGGGACCAGCGAAAATGGAATGGTCCAGGTACAGAGATGAGGACTTAGACTACATTTGGAGGCTGACGGGCTGAAGTGGGGTGGGGATGGGGCCATGGGAGAAAGAGGAATGAGGTGAGGTTTCCGGTCTTTCCCAGAAGTGAAAGGATAGAGAAAGGGAGAAGAGAGGCTGGACTCCGTTTAATGACCCTGCCCTGCACTTCCCCATGCACACTTGGGTTTTAAGTTGCCAGTGACTATCCACATGACCATTTCTGGTGCTGACATCAGTGAGAAGGACAACTGGAGCCAGACTCAGTGGCTCATGCCTGTAATCCCAGCACTTTGGGAGGCCGAGGCAGGTGGATCACTTGAGGTCAGGAGTTTGAGACCAGCCTGGCCAACATGGCAAAACCCCATCTCTACTAAAAATACACAAAAATGAGCCAGGTATGGTGGTGCATGTGTGTCTGTAATCCCAGCTACTCAGGAGGCTAAGGCAGGAGAATGGCTTTAACTGGGAAGTAGGGGTTGCAGTGAGCCGAGATTGCACCAATGGAGTCTAGCCTGGGTGACAGAGCAAGACTCCATCTCAAAAAAAAAAAAAGAGAGAAGGACGAGTGAGAACAAGGCCTCATTGAGCATGAACAGCAACAGTCTGGGAATTAGAGGTGAACTGGGGCAAGAGCTGCTCAGGCCAACCAGCCTAAATGTTCTCTACAGCCTCTCAGACCCTTGAGATCTAGGCTGAGATTAGTTCGAACCCTTATTCTAGGCCTGTGGAAGTCCAAAGCCCTCCCCAAGACTTCTGTGGACTCCCGAGGAGTCCACCTGTTTTTCCATGGTCAGCAATGGGCCTGCAGCCTCTGTGGGTTTAACTGTTTATGTTGCACTGTTTCTATTCCACCCCTTTCTTAGTTCCCCACACCCCCAGAACAAATCTGCTCACAAAACCACTGGCAGATGCAGCAGACTTTACCAAAGACTAAGCGGGGGGCCACCAGAGGGGCTTGTAACGCACCAGTGCAAACAACTACGCACGGAACATAACAGGGCCCTGTTTTGAAAATGTCTTTGCCACCCCATCCCTGAGGACTTTCTATCAGTTTCTTCTCTTGTTACCAAATGAGGCCCATTCTGCTCATCGCACAGTAAGCCAATCACTGAGGTGACCAGTTTTTTTTTTTTTTTTTTTGAGACGGAGTCTTACTCCGTCGCCCAGGCTGGAGTGCGGTCGTGCGATCTCGGCTCACTGCAACCTCCGCCTCCCGGGTTCACGCCATTCTCCTGCCTCAGCCTCCCAGGTAGCTGGGACTACAGGCGCCCGCCCCCACGCCCGGCTGATTTTTTGTATTTTTTAGTAGAGACGGGGTTTCACCGTGTTAGCCAGGATGGTCTCGATCTCTTGACCTCGTGATCTGCCTGCCTCGGCCTCCCAAAGTGCTGGGATTACAGGTGGGAGCCACCGTGCCGAGATGACCAGTTTTGCAGCAGAGAATGTGTTTATTCATGAGGCAGCCAAGTGAGGAGATGGGAAAATAGGTCTCAAACTGACTTCCTCAAAGATGGGGTTTAGAGACGTTGATGGGACAAAGAAGCAGGTGGCCTAAGGTGTAGGGAAGGTGATTGGAGGCAAGGAAAAGTAAGGCATCAGCGATCTGTGCAAGCCTAGTCAAGCTTCGTGGTTCTTCATAGGATGCAGGTTCACAAAATGGTGGCATTAGCATGACTGAGGATGGAGTTTTTGGTGCTCTGACATCAAACGTCACCTACTGGACACTCTCACAGACCAAGTTGAAGGACTGATGGTCATAAGTGGCTTGAACTGGATAACAGCTGACCACACGTTCCTGAAAAACAACTTTTTTTTTTTTTTTGGGGATGGAGTTTCACTCTCGTCACTCAGGCTGGAGTGCAATGGTGCAATCTTGGAGGCTCACTGCAACCTCCACCTCCTGGGTTCAAATGATTCTCCTCCCTCAGTCTTCCGAGTGGCTGGGATTACAGGCGCCCACCACCATGCCTGGCTAATTTTTGTATTTTTAGTAGAGATGGGGTTTCACCATGTTGGCCAGGCTGGTCTTGAACTCCTGACCTCAGGTGATCAGCCCACCTTGGCCTCCCAAACTGCTGGGATTACAGGCATGGGCCACCGCATCCAGCCCCTGGAAAACAACTTAAATAACCATTACTATGATGGATAACAGAGATGTTATCCAGCAGGAAGCTGGTGGAATTCCAGTTAAATATTGCTTAGCTACATGACTTTTAGCTATATAGGTTTTTTTTGTTTGTTTGTTTTTAAAGACAGGGTCTCACTCTATAACCCAGGCTAGAGTACACTGATGGTGATCACAGCTCACTGCAGCCTCAACCTCCTAGAGTCAAGCCTTCCTCCCACCTCAGCCTCCTGAGTATCTGGGACTACAGGCACACGCCGCCACATCTGGTTTTTTGTTTGTTTGTTTTTAGTAGAGACAAGGTCTTGCCATGTTGCCTAGCCTGGTCTTGAACTCCTGGGCTCAAGTGATCCTCCAGCCTCGGCCTCCCAAAGGGCTGGGATTACAGGTGTGAGCCACTGATCCCAGCAGCTATATAGGTTTTAAGATCAACTAGAAGCAAGTGACTAAAATCAAGTAAAGTAGGTTAAGTTCCGCAGGCCTAATCTAGCCTGGGTTCACTCCCACCTTTGTACCATCCTGCTGGCTCCCCTTCTTCTCACCCTTCCATCCCTTCTTCTCATCACCTTCCCTCCCAGAACTCCAAATTCTCCCCCTCTATAACCCAGAGGAATTTAACATTCCCCACTTCCTACCAGCAAACTTCATTCCTAGCCCCGCCAGCTTTGCAGACCTGGAGATCCTCTGCAGGGAGAATAGGGAATTCTCCTCGTCGGGTAGCTGCCCTTCTTAGAAGACACTTGGCGATTGTAAATAGAACTTGGTTGGTTTGCCCTTAATAATGCCTCATGCTTGGTGATCTTCTGCACACAGAGCTCTTTTGCATGCATCATCTCTTGGAAGCTTTTCAGAAGCCTGCAAGGAGATGTTAAGGGTCTTATTCCAAGTGCAACAGCTAAGTGGGAACAGGAAACATATTCCCCCTGGCCAGGTGCAGTGGCTCATGCCTGCAATCCTGGTACTTTGGGAGGCTGGGGCTGAGGATCACTTGGGGCCCGGAGTTTGAGACCAGCCTACGCAACATTTTTTGTGCATCTACAACATTTTGTTGTCTTTACAAAAAGGAAAGGAAGGTAAAGGAGAGGAGAGGAGGGGAGGGGAGGGGAGGGGAGGGAGGGGAGGGGAGGGGAGGGGGAGGAGGGGAGGGGGAGAGGAGAGGAGGGGAGAAGAGAAAGGAGAGG